TTTACAAAGGTCGTTTCTTTTAATACCTTACTGTAAACTGAAGCGTTAAGGACAAAATGCCAGGTTTACATTATTTTTATACAGTCACTCCTCGCTTAACATTGTAGTTATATTCCTGAAAAATGCTACTTTAAGCAAAATGATATTAAGCTAATCCAATTTCCTCACAAGAATTAATGTAAATGGGGGGGGAGATTACGTTCAAGTTAAATTTTTTTAATTTATATATACATACATACACACACAGTATCAGTTTTAAACAAACAATTTAATACTGTACACAGCAATGATGATTGTGTAGCTTGGTTGAGGTTGTGGAGTCAGAGAGTGGGATATTTCCCAGGGAATGCCTTACTAATAAATGATGAACTAGCACTCGGCTGAGCCCTCAAGGGTTAACACATTGTTGTTAATGTAGCCTCATACTCTACAAGGCAGCATGAATGGAGGGAGGGGAGACAGCATGGCAGAGAGAGACAGAGACATCCTGTGTGTGTGTGTGTGTGTGTGTGTGTGTGTGTGTGTGTTGCCCCTTTAAGTACGCTGACCCCACTCTAAGTATATTTCCTTTTTAAGTAGATCAGCAAGTTGAGACAGCAGCTGCTGCCAGCAAGTTCCTTCCATTCTGAGCCCTGTCATGTGTCCCCCCACCCGCTCTGTGGAGATGGGGTAAGGGAGACACTTTGACATTAGTCCCCCTCTTCCTCCCCCCTTTCTCCACCCCCACCCCCCGCACAGCAAGCAGGAGGCTCCCAGGAGCAGCTCCAAGGCAGAGGGCAGGAGCAGCACATGGCAGTGGGAGAAGGGACAGCTGAACTGCCCAGCAATTGATAGCCTGCTTGACGACTACCGCATAGGGAACACAGGGGAGCTGATGGGGGGCTGCCGGTCCACCCTGGCTCCAAGCCCCCACCAGTTAGCTCCAATGGGTGGCCCTTTCTGCAAGCAGTGGATGAAGCGGGCAACTGCCAAACAACGTTATAAGGGAGCATTGGGCAACTTAAAATGAGCGTGTTCTCTAACTGATCAGCAACGTAACAACGTTAACCTGGATGACTTTATGTGAGGAGTTACTGTAGTATTTTTTTCAGCATTGTTTGGGTTGTTCTCCAATTTAGAATACACCTCATTACAAAGTACATGTACAACGTATTACAAAAAAATTTAAACGCTTTTACCCAAAAGCAAAAAGGAGAAAAGTAAAAGGAGAAGACATCTTAAAATAGAGGCTCCCTCATGGACCACATCAATTCCCATTCATGATTGCATAGCATCTCTGTGGCAAATACAGTAACTGCTTACATAAAAAAGTGATGTTAGGAACATAATGTATTTTTAGTCCCTTTTAATGTGATTTAATTGACAAACAATCAGAAGAGAGTTAGACTCATGTGACTAGCAAGTAATCTGGCCCAAAAAACATTTTAGGAATTGCTAATTTATCTTTTCCATTTCCAACTTCTGTGTCTCTAGGACTTTATAAAGACAATCCGGGGAAAAGGTTTTATAATAATTGTTCAACCTCAGAAAATTGCATACATTTTGGAACATTTGGAATTTGTTAAAAAACATTTTAGCTTAGACCTCACCTTTAGCTGTGTAATCTGCTGTTCCAATAATACCTCTGACTGACATTTGAGCAGTTCAATCTCATCCTGGAACTGAAGCTGCTGCTTCAATTTCACCTCCTCAAACTGAGCTAGGAGAGCTGTTCGCACAGTTTCCACTTCAGAGGCAGAGGCAGAGGCATACATCTGTAAGATTTTTTAATCAATTTTATTATTGAGAAAAATCATTAACTCCACCCCCAAATCCCAGTGATTTTCCCTCCAACCCTAAGGGCCAGATTCTCAGCTGGTGTGAACTGCCACACTCCACCTCCATCTTTACTGAAGGAAACCAGATCTTATCTCTGTGCAAGTTCGCAAAGATACAGGCAGGTGGAAGTGGAGGTGGAGGATTCTGAGAGAGGAGCTTGACACCAAAGTACTACGAAACAAATGGCCTAGTTAATCTAATGATCAACTCAGACTGGCAGAGCACACCACCTGCTTGCGTCTTCTGATGCCCATCAGGCTGATGGAAATACACCAGAGAAAGAGTAGTCAAACAAATGGCAGCTGTGCCTCATTAAGACAATATAACAATTACCCAATGACTAGTGATATTGGGCTTCTAGGAAAATTCCAGCTGCATTCTTCTTTGTAAACTGAATCACTGCGGCCATTAGACTGACAGGAAATCCTGTTTCCAGGATCAAGGCACTTAAAGCATGAGAATTTTCACTTGACCTACAAACCTAGCTTCCCAGGCGTATACTTCTTCTACAGAAAACCCAAAGGGACAGGCAGTACATATTTTCAGGTCAACCTAGAGGTCCTCCGCCCAAATCCAAAGGAAATTAAGGTTTTCCCCAAAGGTAAACAACTTTTGCAAGGGGGACATTGCCATTCAAACTCTCAAAAATTGCACTTATGATTAGCAATCCCATTGCTCATTACTGAATTTTGCAGTGCAATGAGTGAAAAAGCAAAACAATGTATCATAAAAAAGGGAAGTTACTAATCTTATAGTAACTGAGTTCTTTGAGATGCGTGGTCCCTATGGGCACTCTGCCTGTGAATGCACATGCACCGCATGAGCCTGAGACCAGAAGATTCTTCCTAGCAGCGCCCACTGGTCAGTGTCTGCATCCTTGCTCTCCTCATACTCCATGCCGAGGGCATAAAGGGCGGTACTGGCCAATCACCTCTCCTGTTCCTTCTCTAACCTGAATCAATGGATAGGATCTGAAGCAGAGGTGAAGGAGGGCACATAGTGGAATATAGATAGGGATCACATCTTGACAAACTCGTTACTATAAAGGTAAATAACTTACCTTTCTTCCTCAAGTGCTGATCCCTATGTGTATTCCACTGTGGATGACTGAAAACCGGAGGCAGGTGCAAGGCTGCAAGCAGTAAAGATGTTTGTAGGACCTCCACACCAAAGAATGCATCAGCTGTGGAGGCTTGAACTAAGGCATAATGTTTCGTGAAGGTACAAACTGAATTCCATATTGCTGCTTTGCAAATACCAAGCAGGGGCACCTTCTGCGCAATGCTAACGAAGCTGCTTGTGCTCTAGCGGAATGAGCCCTCACACAGTGTGGGAGAGGAAGATTCACCAGATAAAAGTAGAAGACAGCCCAAAATCTGCTTAGCAAGTCTGAGAAGCTATAGCTTGTCCTCTCATTCATTCCACAATGGCAATGAACAATGAAGGCAGCTTTGTGATAGATTTCATTCTTTGCAGGTAAAAAGCTAATTATGCTTCACATCAAGGGAATGAAGTCTCTTATCTTCACTGGTGGCAAGAGGCTTAGGGAAAAGAAAACAGGTATGTGTTTATGTGGAAATCCAAAACTACTTTAGGGGCGAATTTCAGGTGCAGCCGTAGTGAGACTTTGTCCTGTACCGTATATGGTAAATTGGTCAGAATTTATGTCCCCCACAGATTTCTTTTGCTTCCCTGCAGAAAAATGACTTCTGACAGGGAAGTAAAGGGAAGGCGCAAGAGCGGTCATGCGCCTCTCCCTGGCAGTGCAAGCAGGTTGGTTTGGGCGCCCAAAGAAACCGGTAGAGACATAAATCACCGCCTGGAGAGGGGTGGGCAGTCGTGCATGAGTGTGCAAGAGAAGCATACTCTATTCCTCTCGCTCACTTTTGCGGCACACTTGGCATGGAAGGGCTTCTGAGTGTTTATGAGGAGATAGGCATGGGGCAGGCTCTGTCCCCTCAGAGCAGAATGTAGCAGCTTGCTTGCTTAGTGAATTGTTCCCATTGTC